AAATGATGATAATGGTGATGATAAAGAGGGAAACAGAGGAGGAGGAGAAGAACGAAGAAGAGAACGAGGAAGACAAGAGGAGAAGAGAAGGGGGAGGCGGTCGAAGAAGTAAATAATGTGACGTATAACTATTTCTGTCGCTGTGGAAAGAATGGAAAGGCTGGTCTGCTGGAGAGCTCCAGGTGGACGCGGCGGCAGAGAGATAAGAAAAGGCCAAACGCGGGCCGAGAGTGGAGCCGGCGAAGGTGGAAGTGGCGACCCGACGTGGACAGGTGTGGAAGTGGCAGGGGCAGTGGAGGTGGAGGAGGCAGGCCTGGTGGCGAGGAAGGAGGTGCAGGCGGCGCAGTGGTGGTGGTGATCCCGTGTGTTGGTGCATGTGAGGGTGGGTGGGGCACTGCAGGACTATGGGCGGCGGCGGAGAGCACGCTGAAGCCACGGCCTCCCTTTCTTTTTTCGCTATTTATCAGGCGCGCTCTGCAAGCATTGCAATCACCGCTTGATTGCAGTTGATTGGAAGTTCGTGCCGCGGGATGGAGGCTCTGCAGCCGCCTCGCGAGCCTGGGCTGAGGCGCAGTTAAGGGCTCGAGACTCGGGTGTTCGTCCGGCGCCAAACCGACATCTATGAGGCTGCCCCACACGGTCACTCCCTCAGCCTTCCAGGGTGACGCCCTCGGACTCCAGCCGCCCTTCCTCCCTCCCTCCCCGCCACTCGCACCGCCTCTCGCCCTCTCGCCCTCCCCGCCTCGCTCTCTCTCTCTCCCTCTCACGCCACTCCTCTGCATTTCCACCTTGTCTTCCCTTCGCCCTCGCTGCTTCCTCTTCCTCCTACGTCCCTCTTAATTTGCTACCTTCTCCCTCCCCCCTCCTCCCTATTCCCTCCTCCCTCTCGCCTACAAGCGGATCTTTTTCCTCCTAAGATCTCTCGTAGGTGTCGTCGGTCGCTCTGCCACGTCCCCGATACCCTGGGACGTCGCGGCGGAGTTCGGCTGGACGTTGCAATCAGCCGGGGCGAGCGAGGGGCGTCTCGGAGGGCCATTATCAGCGCGAATGAGGCTTTTGTGGTATGTGGCGGGGTTCAGGGGGCGGTGGGGGGGTGAGGGGGGGGTGCAGAGGGGGGAGAGGAGGAGGAGGAGGAAGGAGGAGGAGGAGGCTGCGAGGGGCGATCCTCGGCTCAAGAAGGCGCTGGTGGATTGTGTGGTGGATCAACGGGGGGAATGGTGGGGAGAGTGTGGTGGGGGGGGAGGAAAGGAGGTAAGAAGGGAGGAGGAAGAAGAAGAAGAGGAAAAGGAAGATGGAAATGATGATGATGGTGATGATAAAGAGGGAAACAGAGGAGGAGGAGAAGAACGAAGAAGAGAACGAGGAAGACAGGAGAAGAGGAGGAGGAGGCGGTCGAAGAAGTAAATAATGTGACGTATAACTATTTCTGTCGCTGTGGAAAGAATGGAAAGGCTGGTCTGCTGGAGAGCTCCAGGTGGACGCGGCGGCAGAGAGATAAGAAAAGGCCAAACGCGGGCCGAGAGTGGAGCCGGCGAAGGTGGAAGTGGCGACCCGACGTGGACAGGTGTGGAAGTGGCAGGGGCAGTGGAGGTGGAGGAGGCAGGCCTGGTGGCGAGGAAGGAGGTGCAGGCGGCGCAGTGGTGGTGGTGATCCCGTGTGTTGGTGCATGTGAGGGTGGGTGGGGCACTGCAGGACTATGGGCGGCGGCGGAGAGCACGCTGAAGCCACGGCCTCCCTTTCTTTTTTCGCTATTTATCAGGCGCGCTCTGCAAGCATTGCAATCACCGCTTGATTGCAGTTGATTGGAAGTTCGTGCCGCGGGATGGAGGCTCTGCAGCCGCCTCGCGAGCCTGGGCTGAGGCGCAGTTAAGGGCTCGAGACTCGGGTGTTCGTCCGGCGCCAAACCGACATCTATGAGGCTGCCCCACACGGTCACTCCCTCAGCCTTCCAGGGTGACGCCCTCGGACTCCAGCCGCCCTTCCTCCCTCCCTCCCCGCCACTCGCACCGCCTCTCGCCCTCTCGCCCTCCCCGCCTCGCTCTCTCTCTCTCCCTCTCACGCCACTCCTCTGCATTTCCACCTTGTCTTCCCTTCGCCCTCGCTGCTTCCTCTTCCTCCTACGTCCCTCTTAATTTGCTACCTTCTCCCTCCCCCCTCCTCCCTATTCCCTCCTCCCTCTCGCCTACAAGCAGATCTTTTTCCTCCTAAGATCTCTCGTAGGTGTCGTCGGTCGCTCTGCCACGTCCCCGATACCCTGGGACGTCGCGGCGGAGTTCGGCTGGACGTTGCAATCAGCCGGGGCGAGCGAGGGGCGTCTCGGAGGGCCATTATCAGCGCGAATGAGGCTTTTGTGGTATGTGGCGGGGTTCAGGGGCGGTGGGGGGTGAGGGGGGGGTGCAGAGGGGGGAGAGGAGGAGGAGGAGGGAAGGAGAGAAGAGGAGGGGAGCAGGAGGGGAGGGGCGGAAGGGGAGGGGAGGAGGAGGGAAGGGGCGGAAGAGGAGGGAGGATGAAGGGGGAGGAGGTGCGGGGAAGGGGAATTGGGGAGGAGGAATTGGAGGAGGGAAGAGGAGAGGAGGGTGGAAGAGGGGAGGGAAGAGGAGGAAAGAAGGATAGAGAGTGGAAGGAATAGAAAGGGGAGGTTGAGAAGGGATAGTGGGGGAGAAGAAGGAGGGGGAGGAGGGAAATGGAAGAGACTAAATGGGAAGAAGAGGAGGATAAAGGAGAAGGATAGAGCGAGGGCGGAAGAGGGAATGGAGGTGCGGTAAAGAGGGAGGGAGGAAGAGGGTAGGAAAAGAAAGCAGAAGAAAGATAGAGGGGGATGAAAAGGAGGGGATGGGAATAGCAGAGGAATCAGAAAAAGAGAAAAAGAAAGAGAGAAAGAGAGGGGGAGGGGGGAGGGGTGCTTCTAGCCAACGATTTCTGATAAGAACTGGGAGAGGCTAGGCAGTGGGTTTCGTCAGAAGAATGAAACAAAAATGTAAATTTATCAGAAGCGTCGTTTCACACTGTTTTATTTTCTTAAACCAAGTTAAAAATGTTACATTATCTTAAAATTAAAAAAAAAATGGTAATATCGTTCCCGTAAAAGAGCCAAAAAAGGAAAAAGAGTAGTTTCATTTCCGTAAAAGAATAAAACAATTGCTAATTAATTTCTTTACTCTCATTCTCCTAAAAAAAAAATTATAATGTACTTCCTTTACAGCATAACAAAAGGCAACGCATTACTTCCTTACAAGAATTTTTAAAAATAGCCTTTGCATTTTCTTAAGAGAAGCAAACGGATAGCTTCAATTCCTAGGAAAGAAAACCGAACTATAGTGAAACGAAAACCCACTACGACCTCCAGAACCCTCACAAAAGAATCATCCGATGGCAAACTAGGCCGTTCTGACCTCACCAATCTTCTCTCGGTTGCAAGCTCACATCTCACCTCATCTTACCTCACTAAAAGCTCATCTCGCGTAACCGAGTCCAATCATGGGGTTGGATATCGGTATCGCATCCAGTGAACCAGAAAAATGTAAAACATAAAAAAAATGTTATACAAAATAAGAATGTTAAGTAAAAAGTAAACATAAAAAATGTAAACAATATGTGAATATAAAAAATGTAAACAAAAAGTAAACAAAGAAATGTTAAACAAAAAGTAAACATAAAAAATGTTAAACAAAAAGTAAACATAAAAAATGTTAAACAAGAAGTAAACAAAAAATGTAAACAAAAAGTAAACATAAAAAATGTTAAACAAAAAGTAAACATAAAAAATGTAAACAGATAGTAAAAAAAAAATGTAAATATAAAACATGTAAACAAAATGTAAACATAAAAAATGTAAACATAAAGTAAACATAAAAATGTAAACATAAAGTAAACATAAAAAATGTAAACAAAAAGTAAACCTAAAAAATGTAAACAAAAAGTAAACAAAAAATGTAAACAAAAAGTAAACACAAAAAATGTAAACAAAAAGGCGTGACGAAACAAAATGGATAAGATGCACAGAGAAGAACGGAAGGGGTAAAGAAATAACGATTAGGATAAAATAGTTAAAGAGATGTATGGACGAAGGTGTAAATGAGTACACACACATAAACAAATAAACAAGTAAATAGAGAAACAAGTAAGTGAATAAACAGGTTAATAAATAATTCGAAAACACTATAAACAAATATGTACATAAATGAATGAACAAATCCGTAAAGAGGCAAATAAATAATCTAAAAAGGTACATGATTAAACAGAGAGACCAAAAAAATCCATAGATAAATGAACAAAAAACTCAGCAAAAAACACAAACGGGGAAAAAGTCTCAGAAATAAAGAAGCAAAACCTACTCCCGTATTCGCACACCGTCGACGGCACCGGAGCGGGAGAAACATCGCCTGCATTGGCTCAGAGACAAAGATAAATACTCGTTAATGACCTCTGATATCCCGACAATCCTTTTCTTCGGGTGTTCGGGTCGGTATCGCCATCGGGTATCGGGTATTCCGCGCCGACGTCCTCCCCCTCACCTCCCCTGCCCTCCCCTCCCCTACCCTGTCGATGACCACCCTCTCCCCTCCTCCCCCCGGAACGTCCTCGCTCCCCCCCCCCCCCCCCCCCGGGGTGCAGTCGGACTTTACCTACCACAGGGGTTGCGTGTTGGGTGAAATTAAGAGCGGTCTTGTCCCCCTCCTCTCCCTCTCTCTCTCCCCCCTTCCTCACTCCCTTTACCCCCTGGTCTCCCTCCCCATTTATTCTCTCCCCCTCTCTGTCTCTTTCTTCACTTTCCCCTTCCTCTTTTTTTTCTTCCTTTTCGTACTCGTTCTTCGTTTTATCTTCTCTTCCTCTTCCCTTCCTTTCCTGCTCATTATCCCCTTCCCCCTTCTTTTTCCTCCTCTCCCTTACCCCTCCCCTCCTTTTCCTCCTCTCCCTCACCCCACCCCCACCCCCTCCTCCTCACCCCACCCCCTCCCCGCTTCTGGAACCCGAGCTTTAGAAAGATAGAGCGGGCGGGG